CAGTTGCAGGTGCATACGGTGAGGTAGTACAGGTGCATTTACTAGATGGCGGCCTTTCACTTGTGTTTCCTAGCGGTATCTCATCAATCAAACACCAGGCCGTCACTGTGGAACGGCTGGAGTGACATGCAGAGTACTGAGGTTCATTTCTTCATATGATCGTAGCGCATGAAATTTTTCCATTTCATGGTAAGGCTGACCCTTGGTAATTTCGTACAGATTGGCTTTCGGTTCCGTCCAGTTCAATCGAGGCTACCCATTCTAGCCTTTGTCAAACCGATGTCGAACCACATGACCTCCGTAACGTCGGCGGCTTTCCAACTCAAAAGGGGAGGATCGCTTTCAAGTCGCCATGAGACTATAATTGGGTATTGTGATTTTTTTCTGAGGATCGAATTTTTTCTGCTCAAATTTAGCCACACCCTGGTGGTCTCAGCAATTTCTGCCAATGACTACATATTTCTAGCAGCCAACGACCACATCTGAAGGTCGTTTGCATATTCGCAACCGATGGACCTGCCAGATCGCCATGAGATAGCCACACTGGGTCCTCATAAGATATAATCAGAAATTTAACTACCTATTTTCTCGCCAACAGTTCTAGCCATCATCGCAGTTTATCATTGTTTCTTGTTACAACTTTATCAGTATGATTTCACCAGTGAGTGGGACAGTTTAGCCTAACTCTCCTGTCTTTAAACTCATATTCAAGCATTTAAGCATGCCACTATTACAGATATGCTACCACGTTCAGTGTACAGATGCCTCTCGAGTCATCAATTGACTGTAATAAGTGGTTTCTCACAACCAAGAGGACCACTCACGTCGGCCTCACGCTAGGCATTAATGCCCATAGTTATGACTGAAGGCGCACATATCATCTTGTTTGGCTCGAAAATATTTTATTGCAGGCGATGCGAAATCGGAAATGAATTTTTTGAAGAAAGTGGTGTAAATATACCGCGTAAACTGGATTAATATTTTCTATGTCTAAACATTGTTAAAACGATGCAATTCCTTTACTTTCTGGCTTCAGCAAAAATTTGTCCAAAATTTGTTTCTGCCACGGGTTTTACAACGTTGCAACTTCTTGCAACTCTCTGATTTGAACAGCAATTTTGTCCATAGCTAATTACAGCGCACAAGTCACTTATCATCAATCACTTATTTACCTCTTTAGAGGAGGCAAATACAGTGAAGGTGTTGTCCAATCAGCCGAACATAACGAAACTCGGTCAGTGCTCACTTTCAGCGAATATTCCTTCCGTAGCCAACTTTGAAACATGTACCAAGGGATGCTCGAACGATTATGACTGTTTTGGAAGTGACAAGTGTTGCAAATACGGCTGCTCATTTGTTTGTGTGCCTCCAACAACGGGCAAGTCTTCACTAATTTTAGGTTTGCCATAAAATTTATCCTTGCATGTTTCCAGCTGTTAATGAAGCTGTACCCCCATCGTTCCGCCGTGATCCTGATATCAGCGCTATCAGTGAGAAAGCCAGCAAGTATGGCAGCTGCCCGCACTATGAAAAAAGGACAAAAATCGAGTGCTCATCTGACATTGCGTCATGTGCTACCGACAGGGATTGCGATGGAGCGATGAAATGCTGTTCTGACGGATGTGCGAGAAGTTGCGTCATGCCAGACAATTTGCCTAGTATGTTAACTTGTAATGCCATATTATACATATTAATTAATTAACGCGTTTCTACAACAGTTTTAACGCTTTCTGAGCACCATACTAAGCAAGCAACAAGAACTGCTGATCCTTCTTCCTCATTAACTATGACCACCGTTGCCAAGTTTTGATGCCCTCGCTCTTTTGTCTGGTGAAATTTGTCGCTGAAGTTCCCTTTGTCACCTCATCGACCCATCTCAGTTGAGGTCCTAAAAATGGATGCTTTTAGCCCCTATGACTCCAAACTGTCATTGCTGATGTCCATCGGTCATCGGTTAGTCGTGAGATGTAGCCTGACTCGAGCAGGGGATTGAGAGACATTTTAGTTTTTGCTTTCTACTCTCTCTTAGCAACTGGTCTTGGCTACGGTCCACGCCTTTCAGGCATCTCGTATGGAATGTCCATTTGCCCGTCCACTCCGACGGGATTTCAGATGAAGGCTCCATGAGGCTTAGTCCTTTCCGAGTTTTCCTTGGTGGGCTCTGACACATCCACCTTTTCTGCGACGGTTTCTCATCCGCACCACAGACCGGTGCCTCATTTAGCGAAAAAACAAGGTAAAGCGTTTTATCAAACAGTTTGAATAAACCCGAACGTTTCGAACAGGCGTCACAGCACTTTTTTTAACTTGGCGTCACTAAAAATTGGCATACTAAATGAATTCGCTGATGTAGTTGCTCAGTTTCTTATTTGTTACGCTGTTTCAATTTGTTTTCAGTATCCACGCCGTCGTGTCTGATGACGTTGTGGAAAACAATGGTTTCCTTTATTTTTTGTGACGCTAAGATTCTTTCTTTCCAAGTGTCGGAAGCTCTCCGGCAGAAGCTGACAGTTCTCGCTGGTGATGTCGCCGGTCATCGACTAATCTGCAGCCTTTGACGCAGTGTTCATTGAAACTAGAGGTTGAGCTTCTGCTGAAATCATCGCCTTGAGCCGTTTGCAAAAAGACAGCGTCTTTGGCTTGTGACACCTTACGCGTTTTATCAGCAATCATCTTCACATGATTTGATCAAGGCAAGTCTTGTGATGGAACGGTTAATAGATCTATCCCAGCATTTGGACATTCATCCTCAACAGCATCAGGTTTGAAAGGAACGTCAAATGAGTATAGGAGATGGAGATATTTTCTAATTATTTCAATGGCCCATCTCCTGATGCCTTTCAGGATTTAGCCACTGCATATCGGACGAGCGTCTAAAGAAGTTGAACTATTTGTTCGAGTGAGAAGTGAAAACTTGTTAGTTGTAGTTGTAGGCATTGCGATATCGTTTGCCTATTTCAGAAGTCATGCGTGTAAACGTGTGCAGAGCAAAAGGCCTGGACACTAAGAAAACTAGATCTATAGCCACTGGTTCTACAGATTGATAGGTCACGGCTGTGATGACCTTAGCTCGTTTTGTGAGCTTTCAGAAGCTAAACGGCTGCCGTCTTCTCACCTTACCTGCCAACAACTCAAAGAATGACTCAAGCAAGGTTCTCGGTGAACTCGCTTCCAAACTCAGCTTATGTTCTGCCGAAGCTCAAAGACTGGTACAGTATCTAGATCATTGTAGGTACACTATGATGCTTTACCCTTCGCAACAAGTGGATTTTGAAAATGATTGACTATGTCAAACGTGAGCTAAGAAAATTGATGTGATAACTTGTTTATGTTTTCAGCATGTATCCAGATGCAAGAAGCCATGCGACAGTTCACCTACAGCGAATACGTACCGAAATGCGTTGCAAACGGTGACTTTGACTCTGTTCAGTGCAGCACAGATGGCTTGAAGTGCTGGTGTGTCGATCAGATTGGTCACGAAGTCCCTGGTACAAGGATATCTGTATCGACGGGCCATCCAAACTGCGCATGTTAGAGCTAAGGTATTGACGAATTGATCTAAATGACCCCATTTTTCAGTTCCTAGGATTTGCGTGCAAACGTCGTGTGACATTCCGTTCTGTCCGTATGGGTTTCAAATGGACGATTCTGGCTGTCCATTGTGTGAATGCAAAAATCCTTGCAAGGTGTTATTCTTGTTCTACGTCTAACTCAAATTCACTCGCTTTTTCAGCGTATGAAATGCAAACGTAGTTTCGAGGTGTGTGTCATGGAGAAAATCAACTGTGGCTCGAATTCCTGCTCCGGAATTCCGCGATGCATTTTAAACGCATGTCCTCAGGGAACACCTTTGGTCGAGCCATCGACATTTGTAGTTTCTAAATGCATGAACGACGAGTCTTGCTTGGCCATACGAGGCTACTGCAAACTTTATGGCCAACCTGAGGGCAACTGTTGCCCGTTGCCAAGCACGTTTTAAGCATTTGTACGTTGCTATCATCCGTAAACCAACGCACAATTTAGAAGAATCCACACATGATGGCATTTGTCCTACGAGAAGTGTGAGTAATTCCGCTCTGTGCGAGAAAATGTGCTGGACGGATGGAGACTGCTCTGAGAACAGCAAGTGCTGCTACAATGGCTGTGGGATGGAGTGCACGAAAGCTGGTATGAAAACTACGTTCTTAACAAAAATTTAATGGTAAAATTCCTCTAAATTATAAGCTGATAAACAGACATCCAAACAGGCATCATAGCTAAAGAAGATTATCTACGTTTGATTCCCAACTTACGAAGATCTATATAGCAGATTGTCGTTGTTCCAGGTTCAAATCCGAATCATGCCTACACATTAGCGATCCGCCTATAGGCTATAAGCTAAATTCATATAATTCCGCAGAGCTTATATATCCAGAAGTGGTGCGTTTTCCCACTGTGGTAGATTGAGGTATTAATGCCTTTTTCCATACGGAAATGGTCCGTCTGCACGACCTCAACTTAACAAGGTGCTCAAATTCTCTGAACCGGTTGGAATGAAGAACGTAACGCGGTATTTGACAACCTATAAAGCAGGGAAACTGAAGAATCGAAGGCGGATGTCACTTAGATATGCGATAGCTGGAGTGCTACTGGAACAATGAATAATGGCAAACACATTTTTATGAATAAACATAAAATGATCACG